AGTATTATATTTTATAAAATATATAATATGTATTTTATATATTATATAAAATATATAAATAATATAATATTTATTAAAATATATATTTATAATTTAATATATATATATATTTTATTCTTTTCTTTATAATTTCAATCTATCTCTCTCTCTATTCAACTGCTTCAACATTAATAATAATAATAATAGTATATGCTAAATTTTGGGCCCGGGCCCAGGCTCGGGCTTCGGGCTTTTTATGAGAGTCGGACTCGGGCCAAGTTGTAGGCCCGATGGTCGGGCCAGGCTCGGGCTCAGGCTCAGGCCTTAAAAAAATTTGTTAATACATAGTAAAAGCCCGGCCCGACCCGTCCCATGAACAGGTCTAATTGCCATCCCTAAAGTTAGAGACATTTCAACCTCAAAATATCCACCCAATGTTCTGTTGCAACCATAAACTTGTTTGGTTGTAAAAAATGCCGGTTGCCTGCTTTTAGCATTATTATCTGCTGAAATCAAGGTGGGGTATTTTAAAAGTACAAATTGGTTGATACACCTCTCAAAACTTCTCAAAATAACACCTCATTGTGGAATTGTGATATGCTCCTCACAGAGTGTGCCTCACACTGACCTCACAATCACATTCCACTGTGTATTAGAAATAGCTTCTCATGAATGATAAATACAAATAAGGTAGATGTTCCCGATGTACGATCAAAATATATTGTAAGGTCGGGCACACTCTGTGAGAAACAGATCCAGTCTCCTCATTGTGTTATCTCGCAGCTTCCATCGTAAATAGGGCATACCAAATGTGTTTCTGTTTCTAGCAGTTAGTGTAGGTGCCATTATGGCACTGATGTGGCAGCATCTAAGACCTCAAATGATTGGTAAGGTCTCTTTCTGGTCGTAACTGAGGCTTTAAATTGAATCCCACTTGCACCTAGGTTGGGGGATGGGCTACCCCGTTGTGTAGCCCTTTAAAAGAAATCAAGACCTCAAAGGGTAACATAACATGGTTTTTTTTTTTTTTTTTTAAATTTGTTCAATTGAATATTTCTTAAATAGGTACATTGGGAGGGATTCTAACATTTAAACAAATAAAAGTCCCCCGACTCCAAGTGAATAACGTTTCTGATGAGTTCAAAAATTGATACATAATTGTATAATATGTATCAATACATAATTGTATAATATTTTAAACGTTACAACACAATGATGCTCTATATTAATGGATGAAACATCCCCTAAGTTTATTTCGTGTAGGAAATATAATTTTACCCCAAAATTTGATACAGAATACACTTGGAAAATAAAGAACAGGGATGATCATGGGTTGGGCCTAACATATAATATACATTGAAAATAAAGAACAGGGGTGATCATGGATTGGGCCTAAGTTGAACTTAGCATATAATGTAACTATGTAGGATAGCACATAATATGCATGTGTGCAAATAACTATTAATATTCATAATATATAGCACTTGAGTTTAACTTTTAGGATCTGCTCAGTTGCACGAAACCCAAAACAAATATCTCCCTTTATATATAATATTTGATATTGTATCACATAATATATGTATAAAATTGATAGTATACTTCATATAATTCATATAATAGTAGATGGTATGTCGAGGCCGGGTCAGGCTAGAAATTACCGTCCCCATTAAAGACCTTAGTTGATATAGAACAAATGTGGCCTAGCATAAAACCCACATGCAGACCAACAAATCCACTCACTCTATACATGGATTATAGGACAAATAGGTGGGGGCTCACATGAAAATAAAAGACAAATTTTCTAATTGCATCTTTTCTGCAGCAAACACACATCACAACAAACAAAATAATTTCAATGGGCCCATACGTTTTTATGGGGCCGAGGCCCATCAATGTACCAAAACCAAAGATAATGGCTCCCTAGTCCCTACCAGCGGCGGAGCATATTAAAAAAATGTTGTAGTTTGGAGTTGGAAGGTGTCGGCTGACAGGATCAAACCCCACAACCATCTCAAAAAAAATGGAGTGTTGAGCAGCTAAAGCAACTACAACAAGTGCTTGGGGATTTTTATGAATCACAACCACAATGAAGCTCCATTACCAGCAGCAAAGTTTCTGATTCAAGCTTAAAAATTATTGGTTTTTATTTTCTTTTCAAGTTTATGGTTAATTTGATTGTCTTCATCGGTGGGAGTGGTCGGAAGGACCGAAATTGAACTCGATTCAGAGTTCAGTGCAATGGACAATGGGACAGACAGAAAAGGTCTTGAAACTATATGTTTTGAGAGAGAGAGAGAGAGAGAGAAAGAGGGAGAGAGGACAGCATCTGGGGTCATACTGTCATAGAAGATAAGGACTCCTTTTTGAGTCCTTACTCTGAACTGCTGCTACACTACCACGATTGATTCCATAAAATAAACGGTGCAAATTATCCCAAGAAACTGATGAGAAACAACTAGATTAGTAGCCTCCATGTCAAACTTGAAATACAAAAGAAAACCTAACAACATCAGAGAAGACTCTTCTTCCAACTCACACTCTCGCTCGTATACACTGAAGAAAAGTTCTGTATTACACTAACACAAACAAACACAGACACTGAAGCACACACACAGAGAGTCACAAACAACAGAAAAAAAACAAGAAAAACCAGAAAATAGTTTCAAGCTCTGGCACAAGAAATTGAACTCTCTTTTCAGTCACCCCCACCATTGATGCACAGCAACTCCTTCATCCCTCAGCCTTCCGTAGAGAGCTAAGCATTCCCAATAGGGCCTCCTATTCTTGCTCTTCCTCCCACATAGACCTTGGTGTTTGCATTCCAAAAACAGTTCGTCCACCAAGCTGATGGCATTGCTCTTCATCATCTCTTCAACCACTTCTGCTTCTGCCTTCATCACAACATACTCTTCTTCCTTCACATTCTTCCACAACCAATCCGACATCTCCATCTGGGGCACTCCCTTGTCCGGTGACAATTCATCGGTGGTCACCATGTCTATCTTGTACACTTCGAAATCCTTATTTCTTGTTGGGTAATTCTGCTCAAACCAACCAGGACTGGCGTTGCTTTTCACCTGCAAGTCAACGTCGATGAAGACGTGTCGCGGGTACCCTTCCAGTGAATCCTCCATCAAGTCCGGGAGGTATCTGGTGGTCTTTAAGTAGTTGCCCAACTCCACCTTAGATGCTCGTGGTGGTTCAAGGAGCGCGTCCTCCAGTCTGTTCAGTGCCGCCTGCTTGGCTTCTGAAGCGAATGCACTGAGGCGTCTCTTAATCGGCGAAGTCCCTGATAGTATCTCGGCGGGGCCAGTTTTCTTCATTGCCACAATTGTAGATGCAAATCTCCGGATATAGACAATTTTGTAATTAGAGGGCTTGCGGAAAGGATACCGAGGGTTGTCGCTCAACTGGACAGCTGCAATACCGCCAATCTTCAGAGTGCGGTCGATGAATTCACCGGAGCCAAAGCCGGGCGCGAACGCAAAATCAAATGTATCATCTGGGACTAAACTCTGGCGTTCGGTGTCGAACTCAGAGATGAGATCCACAAAATTATCATCAGTGAACAGGGGACTCTGAGTGATCACCTCCTCGCCACCGCCCTGGCTTACAAGGAGGGTCTTGCCGCCAGAATTAAGGAGACCCTCGTTGGCTAAGTCTTGAAAAAGTTCAGGCAAGAACTCAACATTAATGGGTTCAGGTCCGAAATCGGCCTGAGAACCATTGAGGTTAGAATTCAATTGGGGAAGTCCATCAATGAAGTATGGTCCGATCCATGGAAATGTCGCAATGATCAAGGCTAAAAGCACGGATCGCGCGATAACCCTAAGAACCCTGGAGTCAGGAAGCATAATTGTGAGCTGGTTATCGGGATTCAGACTGATCTCACCTTCCCCGTGAAGGTGTTTGATCTTTGTCTGGTTATTGACCGGAAATCCACGACCGAATTCCATTTCCTTTCAGAGATCTTGGATGGCCGCTTGGCTCTTGGCTCTGATAGGAATGAGAGCTGGTTGTGTTACTGTTAACTAGGTTGGTTAGGCTAGTCTCAGATAAACAGAGACAGAGACAGAGAAAAACACAGGCGAGAGGAGAGGGAAGGGGGGCTTAGCGAGTGCAAAACCGGGCAGCGGTGTGGTTTCCACCCACGAGGGCCACACGGATACTTTGCACTCCTGACCAGAGGAGCATCAACTGCCTCATCCGCTGCACCTCCATTGCTTTCACCTGTCCAGATCGACGGGAGTACTTTTGTTTCTGAGATACCCAAGATGTTTCTTCTTTAGGGAATCATCGTCGGAAAGTCATCAGCAGCCCCTGTCGACCGGAGAAGGGGGAGCAGCCTGGAGAGTGGAGAGGCTGTTGTGTGAATCAACAGGGGCAAAAAGGGAGAGAGGAGGATGAGAGGATTTATTGATTTTACTGGAAGGACAAAGAAGGAAATAAGTTGGGGAAAAAGAGGTAAAAGGCGGTGAGGTTGTGGTAGAGGAGGAATGAATGGAGGAAAAGCGGTGGTTGATCAACGGCTCCACGAAAAACCAGTTTCACCGTAGTTGTTTGTGATTTTGTGAAGGAGCTTGTTTTTCCGGTTTCCAGAAGAAGGGCTGAGACCGAAAGGTGACGTCTCCGATATTAGCGCCGAAGGGTTTTTCTTTTTAATTTATGGGCAGGAGCGTTTTCCTCCATTTTCTAACAAAGGTTGACACCTGGCAAGGATAATCTCGATTTTGTTGTTTTGACTCCATTTTCTATCAAAGGTTAACACTTGGCAAGGATAATCTTAATAAGGGTATTTTTGTTCTTACATAATTTTCACTTGGAGGTTAAATGCCTTGGCCTCACACGTCCAATCTGTAGAAGTTAAATTAAAATATTTTAATATTTATGTAAAATCAATATTTACAAACGTTGGTTGCTCAAATACTTTTCCTTTTTTTTTTATTCTTTGAATGTAGGCTGTAACTGGGTTGTTGATACATTTCTGTTTCACATGAGAAACTTTTTGCCACGTGGTAAGTGTTATGACTCACGATCCTGCCTCCTGTTAAGAAAATTGGAACCCCTGTTTAGTAAAAGATACAAATGTTATTATTTGATAAACGGTGTCATGTTACCGTAAAATCAGCATTTTTCGTAATTCGCATTTATAGTATGTTAATATTTGGGAGAAATTTTATTTAATGTTTTATTTAATGGTTAAGCGTTTATTCATTGTTTAGTGATGTAAGGTGTCTAGTGGTGTTTAATTGTCAATTACCAAAACGTTTACCAACCACTTTTCTCTCAATTTTAAAGATAAATTAAGTATAAATATTTATTTAATAAACGAAAGTCATGCCAAAAATATACTATAGCGACCAACTTAAGGTTGTATTTCTGACTACTTGTTCCAGTAGGGGCTGGGATCAAATCCAACTGCCACCATGAAGGAAAAAAAGAGAAGCACCATATTGGCTCGGTAGACTGATACTACATCTAATTCTAATCATATACCATTTACAACCCGAATTGGGTTGGGTTTATCCAGCTTAACCACTTTCTAAGTTGGGGAAAGCCTAAGCTTAGGGAAGTAGTTGTCCACTCAAGCCCTGTTTATGCAAAAGTTTTGTGTCCATTTAATCTATATTTGGTTTAAAGGAAAAGGTAAGGAAAAGAAAGAAAAGAAATAAAATCTATACAAGGTTCGAAAAGGTTTCTTGCCTTTTCTTTCCTTTTCCTACTTTTTCGAGAAAAGTAAATGCAGACGGCCATGATTTGGTCTGAGGACTAAGCAAAGCCTAATCAAAGACAGGTGAGAAAGCTCAGGTGGCTTATCACTTGTCTGAATTAACCTCAGGTTCTGTTATGACCGGGTTCAGACTTGTAACTTCTAAGGTCATTTCTGGTCTGACAGGTTTGGCTATTGAAATTTGGTCACCATGAAACAATTACTTGGGACCTCGACCCAACCGACTCGCCAACTGATGGGTGGCTCAATTGGTACAGTTGCTGATTCATTTGGGTAGAGACTTGGGTTCAATTCTCATTCTTGTTCATATTTTCAATAATAAAATTCTAGAATGGATAAAAATATATAGAAATCAGCTTTCAAAAATATAATCAATCGTGTCATTGAACAATTAACATGAAATACCTACACCCATAAAATACAAATCTACCATGTGGATCCTACATCAATAACACAAAATATAAAAAAGAAAAAAAAGACAAAAAACTAAAATAGCTTTTGCATTTGGTTAGATAGAAAAAACATAAAAGAAAATTTAAAGGAAGTTATTAACAACTATTTAAAACTAATTAAAAAGAAATTAGTTTGCTGAATTGAGTAGATAGTTGTGCAAATGAAGAATAGAGCTTGGAATTTTCAAATAGAAATGGAATTTAAAAAATGTAAAATTAAAAATAAAACTCATAACATAAAACAGTACAAAATATCTAACAAATAATAATTTCATCAAATTGACAAAATTATATTCAATAAAGATAATATATATTAAGAAAATCATAAAATATAGTAAAAATCATATAATCATACCTCATATTGAAAGAAGTTTTGTGAAAATAGTCATAAACCACCGGTATAGATTGTTTTTGGTAGATGGCCAGTGGTTGATGTCCATCAACACAAGTTTTCACGACAATGGTGGCCAACAAATGAATGACTGCCGTCCATCTGCTAGTAAAAAACAAGATGGACAGAGGCCGTGGCCATACAAGTTATGTCAATTTTTGTGCCATAGATTCATTTTTCATTTTAAAATGAAAGAGGCCTATGCCAAGAATTTTGTAACCAAATGGTCTCATGTAATTCATTCTTTCCCATTCTTGTCTAGAATGAATAAGAACTGAAATAATAAAGCTTTTGCCAACCAACCAAAGATGGCCTTGATTATTGAATCCTTTAGCCACAAAGAATTGAGGGGGTTGGGGGGTAAGGGCTGCCCCAAATGAACCAAATAAAATAAAAAAATAAAACCAAACCAAGACTTCTAGCTTTATATTTTTTAGGTTTCGACTTCTAACTCAAGCTGTTTGTTTTGTTAATGCTTTTTTTTCTTTTCTATTTTGTACTTTTAATGCCTTTTTGCTTTAATTTCTTCTTTCCTTTGAAGTTCTAATTGGTGGGATGGAATCCTTTGGCCCTCTTAATGTTCTCCCATTTAGGAAGAGACACTTGTCCTTAACACGAGGTATCAGCATGTGCCAACCACCCCCTGTACTATATAAAGTCAATGATAATTACCTCATGAACTTTCATTTGCAACAAAGACCCCTCTGAACTACTTTCACATTGTGACAAATACCCTTGGCTGTTAAGTTGCAAGATGGAATGCATTAAATTACCAAAATACCCAATTGAACTTTTCTTATTATCTTTTCCTCACCCGTTTGTCTTAAATCCTATCCGATCCAAAAATATCTTCATTTTCTGCAAATTAAACTAGCCAAAATAAAAAGAATCATTTCACTAACATAGTAAAGCAAGTTTCTTTAAATTAATGTTTCATTTCGCTAACATGAATCTCTCTCTTCATCTTAAAATATAAAAATTACCATTCTTTCTCCAATAAATCAAGAAAAACCAAATGGAACTAAGGGAGGGTGATTTGACCCGACCTCCTGACTAGGCGACACGTGGATATGGCTCAACGTAGGTGACAACTCAGCATGACAGCTTGGCTATAACTCGGCGTAATGAGCTCGCTAAAACCCAGCCTAATAGTTTGGAACCAGGCAACTCGCTACAAGGCAGCTCGCTACCAGGCAGCTCGCTATTGAGCAATCCCTAGGTCTCGGCAAGCTTCTTATCTGACAAGACCGTGCCCGACAGACCTCTCCCACGTCCCTTGTCAGACGGCGCAGCACCTGCCAATCTAGAGGACTGCGCCCACGTCTCTCGTCAGGCGGCGTCGTGCCTACCTGCTCCAAAAAATGTCTCTCGACTGACAGGGCCGTACCCTGTGACGGTTACCTACGCCCACCTGCTCAGCCCTAGCAAATAACGGCAGCAGCAGAGAATCAGAGGCGGTTACACCCGATTTGACAGAGCATTAATATATAAGGGCTCTAACTCCCAAGGGAAAAGGTAATTGCGCATATTCACTCCTAGCCCTCATTTTCTTGACAACTCGTTGAGTTCTCCACCGAGTTCTAACTTAAGCATCAGAGTGTTCCCACCGGACGAGCTCCCCGAGAATCCTTCACCCTCTTCTTCGCAGGTACCTTGTCCGCCGCCAGCTAGGAGTGCAGCCACTGCTAGATAGAAGTGACCAGATCGCGCATCATCATTTGGCGCCGTCTATGGGAATCGCTTCGAAAAGCCTTCTTCCACCAAGTTTTGCAACCTCAGTATCCATGGCCTCCTCTAGCAACATCGGACACAACTCAGGCACAAACACTTCCCCTGAACCTCAACTCCCTATAGTGTGTGTCAGACAGTTTACCCTTCCTCTCTTTGCAGACGGGGTCCCGACGCTGAACGTGCCTCAGATCGCGACACCGGTGAGTGCTCTGCTCCCCTCCGCAATGGGCACTACTTTCACTGAGCCCTCTCTTCCCCCACTAGCCGGGCCAAACCAGCTCGAAGATCTGATGCATTGCATGAGAGCCATACAAGCTCAAGTGCAGCAAGTCCAACAACTTCAATTGTACCTGCTTGAAGATCTGATGCATTGCATGTGAGCCATACAAGCTCAAGTGCAGCAAGTCCAACAACTTCAGTTGTACCAGCAGCAAGCTCTACACCATGTATACCAACAACAATATCAACAACAGTTCCCCCTGTTGCCTCTGAACCAATCATCGATTCCACCATGACATCCGGCCCCGTAGCAAACTAAGCCTCGCCGTTGGAATGAATGCCCCTCTCATCGGGGAGGGACCTCCCAAGCCCAAAATCCTCCCGGGAGCCAAGTCTCATCCCGTGGCAGGAGGGAAAATCTAGTCACACCCAGCTCTCCGCGTGCGGTTGGGTCGGGGAACTCTCAGCCTCCCAGACCCGCATCACCTCAGCTTTCTGAGTTCATGGCCCCTCTCCTTGAGAACTGATTCGAAGTCTTGGTCGCGAACTCCAGGCAAGGACCGATCCACAGTCGCCATCAATAGTCTGAGCCACTCCCTACAAGAACCATTCCTGACAACACAAAAGTGAGCAGCACCAATGCAGAGCCTGCAAAGAAGCAGAGGAGACATCGCCGAGCTCCCAAACTACGACACACCACTTGCCCGAACTCAAAGAAAAAGAAGAAGTAAGCTCGAACGAAGTGAAAACCACTCTGTTCCTCTCTGTACCATCCCCTCTGTCTCCTGAACTCTTGGCCGTCCCGATGCCCAAGGACTTCAAGTTACCTCTCCTGGACAAGTATGTTGGATCATTTGACCCGAATGATCACGTGGATGCCTTCCAGTCGCAGATGCACCGGGCAAGGGCTAGTGAGTCCTGCATGTGCGTGGCCTTCTCTACCACTTTCAAAGGAGTAGCCCGCACGTGGTACAGGAATCTCGCACCCAGGACAATAAAAAGTTGGGCGCAGTTCGTGTAGGTCTTCACCTTCCACTTCATCACTAGCAAAAGATGCTCGAGAACCCAAGAAAGTCTCCTCGGCATAGTCCAGAGGGAAGGGGAGTCTATCCGCAGCTACATC